AATGAAGGGACAAAGACAGACCAAGTTGAACATGGACAAACAGCGGGATTACCTAGCCTGACCCTGCTGGAACAACCCAACGGCATGGGTCAAAAACGAACTAAAACTAAACTCGCACATAACAGACAGCTCGTTTGTTGTTGAAAATCGAAGTATTTACACGCAGCAGCCACGTATACCACCTTTCCATGCAACTAAACACTAAAATGCTCATATTGCACCCTAAATCTTAAAATAAAATCGTAAAAATAAAAGGTTAATATTTGGAGTCACCAAGTCGAGGATGGCCAACACACGAGTATTTTTGATAATAGTCTGTTTGCTCAGCGAGACACACACTTTCCTGACTCGAAGCAGGTTGAAGGTACGGCGCGAGGCCAGCGATACATCAATGAGCCCTTCACTTGAGGATACAAAAGGGCACTTGTGTGGTCAGAGAGGACGGCTTGAGGCAGAGGAACCAACGGCCTAAACACAGCCAGTACACTGCAAGTCAAACAAGCTTGTTTATGAAGCCAGTCTGTGGAAAAGCACACACCTCGGCGTCAGCGTGCGTAACCTGTTGATTTGGGAAAAAAAAAACACTTTTTTTGTGTTTGTCACTTCTTGGCCTGCTTAAACATTTGGCGAGAGGACAAGGCTGTGGACGACTGTGAGATGACAGCATGCAAACAGGTGCATGCGAATGACACAATCCCCCATGTCCTCATCTCCCCTCACGCCCTGTCTAACTATTGTCTAACAAGCTATATAAATAAATGTGACTGGACTTGACGCGGTCTAGTCATCACTAGTCCAAGCTGTTTAGCATTACAGAATTGGTTGTCCTCGTGATTTTTTACATGTAAACGTGAAATAAAGCAAAAAATGGCAAAGTGACATTATGATCATCCAGACTTTTGAAACCATGCATTCACATAAGAAATATCAAGCAACTGTGCCACCACCACTTCCTTTAGACCTTGAATGTGTAAAAGTGCAGTATTCTGGCTGGAAAGTCTGAGATTGCCGTAAAGTGCCATTTTCGTCCACTTTATGAGCAGGTTTGTGCATTTCAATATATTTTATTCAGCACTAAAGAGATGATGGTCATAAATAGCAATCGTTTTACAACTATACTTATTAAAAATTATGCTTTTTTTGGATGTACAAATGAACTTTGTGCAGCTGTTTATGTCTTGTTTTTCCCTAGAGCCTAACAAACTATCTCTTTGTCCTTGTAAGCACTGAACCCAGGACTAAATTCAGCTTCAACACCTGGTTGCGAAAAAGAGAATGTCTGAATCACTGAAGTCAGCATGACGCTTTAGTCTGCAAGAATAAAGATACGTTCAATGAAACATTTCAAAAATCTATTTTGGTTTGTTTATATATATATATATATATATATATATATATGGCATATTTTGATTTTGAAGCCCAAAGCAATTATCATACAACAGAAATCACTTTGCAAATGTTCAACTTTGAATGTCCTACTTTCATGCTCAGCAATGGCTATTCATGGCACCGAAAGGGGCCTTGCAAAATCATAATGGTCAACAAGGCGAAAATGACGTGTGCACAATTTGGTATTACCAAACAAGGTTTTTCTGGACATTCTTTATCATGGCCACAAATTCATAAACTGATTCAACACCTCTTGCATCAAGACCAGCAACAAAATTTTTACTAAAACTGACTAACTCAATTTCTCACCTGTAGCCGCCAACAAATCAGAACCCATTTAATCTTTCCTAAGAACTCAACACAACTATGAGAAGCCCATCACTGATTAGATGGGAAGGAGGTGATGTTACCTGACTGCAAAAAAGCCATGCAGATGGCCAGAGCGCCAATGAAGACGAGCGGAGATAAACCGCTGTAATTGCTGCAGATGCCCATGGTTCCTGGCCGGACTCTTCTGCTCACGTTAATGAAAGAACACAGAGAGCAAGTGAGAGACTGAGTGAGAGAGGCAGGCGTAGCTGGGTTTAGGTGGGAGGACTCTGTATGGACAGTGCAGACTTTTGTCAACTCTTCTGGTAACTGCACACCATCTTCACACCCGGATAAGTGACTCTTTACGGGGCCCGGGCTGCTTTTCTGTTGGATTTCAGATCATAGAGGTGGGTCATGAAGAAGACAATCCAATTTGATTACAATCGATGTAATTAAACTATGTGAAACATCATTAAAGTGATTCAGTTTGATTATTTTTCCATGATTTATAATTATGAGGGACAATTTATAAAATAGTGGAAAACTGGCCCAAAAAAGCTGAACGTTTTTGGATATGCAAGCATAGCACCCTGGGCATTACTATATTTATTATAATCAATTATTAAAAAGTGGTTAGTTCCAGTCCTGGATGTTGATGCAGCATTCTAGCAGGAAAAAATAAAAATAAAAAATCAATCTCACAGCATTTACATTTTGGCGGCAAATTTGTACTAATTCATACAATCACATTTTTACATTTTCGTACAATCTGTTTAGACATGTTTAAGACTTTTAATGTGTAGACCATCCCTTTTTTAATCTAAAAAGAATGTTTTCGAATGATTAACATGATGCAAATTCATACAAAATCACCTCATAAAATA